TCAACAAACTGACGCACAAGGCGTGTCGTGTGGGTGGCGTGGAGGGTGTGTGTATGTTCGTATGGGAGTGCATCAAGACAGACGGCCATCACGAAGGGATGTGCATGGATGGCTTCATGTTCGGGTCGTGTTGTACCCACGACCACAAGGTCAGCAGCCAAGACCACACGAACGACCTGGGGCAGCAGATAGTGCCTGGCATCATGGTGAAGAACTCTAGTGTCACTACCACGACAACCACGACTACTATAGCAACCACGACCATGGACCCATCCTCGTCTTTCACGCCTAGGCCTAACATACAGAGGCCTAACCCACGGCCGCCGCCCACGACCACCCACACCCCCGCAGAGGAACCACCCACCCCGCCCATGGGCTCAGTGTGGGCGCATCTGCCTTCCCACCACCCACACACGCCGCCCATTGATACTCCCACGACCCTCACACCCGCTGCCCCGCCCACGCCGCCCACGAGGCCTACACGCCCTCCCAAACCCTCGAAGTAAGTCCTGTGTAGTGACCTCTGAAAGATACTCCCATTCGAGTACAATGACTCAAGTCTTCACAACAACAGCCAGACTCAAAATTATATTTTTTTGTTATTTAAATCTACGAGCTTATTATTTGTTACATTTATTATTATTATTATTATTATTATTATTATTATTATTATTATTATTATTATTATTATTATTATTATTATTATTATTATTATTATTATTATTATTATTATTACGTGTTTGCAGACCAACTAGGCCTAGTGTGACACCATGGTGGATGAAGCAACCAACAACCAGCCTGGAGGCTGCTGTCCACAAGACCAACCACCCCTCACCACCACTCCTAACCACCACCCCAATACCACCACCAACCACCACCACCACTACCACCACTACACCACCACCTACCACCACCACTACTACAACACCACCACCACCACTACACCACCACCCACCACAACCACCACAACCACAACTACCACCACTACCACCACAGAAGCGACTACAGCTGGAGGTCCTGTAGTGAGCAACGCTCACACGAAACACCGTGAGTACAGCTTCCTGAATTTAAAAGTTCAGCCTCTCAACCTTCCACAGGTTTCCCAGCACTCCAACAGCACCTTAAATCCCGGCAACCACTTATCTCCACCCGCTCCCATCTAACACGCTCATACATCCCTTCTGTATACTCAGTCCCTTCACACCCTCCTTCCAACCCTTCCTAGAACCTCCCATACCCCTCCCAACCCTTCCTAGAACCTCCCATATCCCTTTCAACCATTCTTAGAACCTCAAATACACCTCCCAACCCTTCCTAGAACCTCTCATACCCCTCCCAACCCTTCCTAGAACCTCCACACCTCTGCCAACCCTTCCTAGAACATCTCATACCCTTCTCAACCCTTCCTAGAACCTCCCACACCTCTGCCAACCCTTCCTAAAACCTCTCATACCCCTCCCAACTCTTCCTAGAACCTCCCACACCTCTGCCAACCCTTCTTAGAACATCTCATACCCCTCCCAACCCTTCCTAGAACCTCCCGCACCTCTGCCAACCCTTCCTAGAACCTCTCATACCCCTCCCAACCCTTCCTAGAACCTCCCACACCTCTGCCAACCCTTCCTAGAACATCTCATACCCTTCTCAACCCTTCCTAGAACCTCCCACACCTCTGCCAACCCTTCTGAAACCTCTCATACCCCTCCCAACTCTTCCTAGAACCTCCCACACCTCTGCCAACCCTTCTTAGAACATCTCATACCCCTCCCAACCCTTCCTAGAACCTCCCGCACCTCTGCCAACCCTTCCTAGAACCTCTCATACCCCTCCCAACCCTTCCTAGAACCTCCCACACCTCTGCCAACCCTTCCTAGAACCTCCCATACCCTCCCAACTCTTCCTAGAACCTCCCACACCTCTGCCAACCCTTCCTAGAACCTCCCATACCCTCCTAACTCTTCCTAGAACCTCCCACACCTCTGCCAACCCTTTCTAGAACCTCCCATACTCCTCTCAACCCTTCCTAGAACCTCCCATACCCCTTCCCCTTTATATTATTTTGTTAACCTAGTTAGATCAATTATCTTAAGTTGTTAGGCTGGGTTATTAACAACTCTAGTTAGCAACGGTAGTTAGCAACTGTAGTTAGGAACGATAGTTAGCATCAGTAGTTAGGAGCTGTAGTTAAAAACTGTAGTTAGGAACTGTAGTTAGGAACGATAGTTAGCAACGGTAGTTAGCAACTGAAGTTAGGAACGGTAGTTAGGGATTGTAGTTAGGAACTGTAGTTAGGAACTGTGGTTGGGAACTGCAGTTAACAACTGTAGTTAGGAACTCTAGTTAAGAACTGTAGTTAGGAACTCTAGTTAAGAACTGTAGTTAGGAACGGCAGTTAGCAACTGTAGTTAGCAAAAAAACTGCTAGTTGTGGTGGAGAGAGAGAGAGAGAGAGAGAGAGAGAGAGAGAGAGAGAGAGAGAGAGAGAGAGAGAGAGAGAGAGAGAGAGAGAGAGAGAGAGAGAGAGAGAGAGAGAGAGAGAGAGAGAGAAATATTCGAGGTATTAGAGATTTGTACATTATCTCTCTTATTCTCTCTCTCTCTCTTTCTCTCGGTAATACATTTTCTTTACTCATCTGTCGTTTAGATAATTACATTGACTTTCAAATTACCTTTAAATCGTTCATTTATCAATTATTATTATTACTATTATTTTTTCTTCTTCTTCTTCTTCTTATTTTATTATTATTATTATAATTATAATTATTACTGAGTGCTCTTGTTTCGAGGAAAATGAGCGCTCTTGTTGCAGTGGCAGTTTCTGGGTTAGTGGCGCTGGTGGTCGAGCTTGTGACTGCTTTCACCTGGCTTGAGCACCTGCCAGGTGGCTTGAGCACCTGGCTTAGATGATGATGTGTGTGTAACCTGGCTTGCTGGTACTGGCTTTATTTATGACCTCCGTTACATCTCCTTCACGTCCAAGACAGGACTTAGAAACACGTCCAAGACAGGACTTAGAAACACGTCCAAGACAGGACTTAGAAACACGTCCAAGACAGGACTTAGAAACACGTCCAAGACAGGACTTAGAAACACGTCCAAGACAGGACTTAGAAACACGTCCAAGACAGGACTTAGAAACACGTCCAAGACAGGACTTAGAAACACGTCCAAGACAGGACTTAGAAACACGTCCAAGACAGGACTTAGAAACACGTCCAAGACAGGACTTAGAAACACGTCCAAGACAGGACTTAGAAACACGTCCAAGACAGGACTTCCATATATAATAATCACTTTTCTGTACCTATAACAATCTTGTCCAGCAAATTTAGAAATATATAAAAAAAGTAAAAAAAAAAAAAAATATTGGACATCAATTTTTTTCGAAAAAAAAAAAATTGTCTGATAATTTTTTTAATAAGAGAAATAAACGATGTATGTCGAAATGTGATGAGTTTATGTCAAAAAAAAAAATTAGAAAGCGTTCCTTACGTTGTGGAACGAACGATGGTGTGTGAACACGTCTGGCAGGTCAGGTGAGAGTGAGAGTGCTCTCGGCACCACGTTGTTGTACACACACACACACACACACACACACACACACACACACACACACACAACACACACAACACACACACACACACACACACACAAAACACACACACACACACACACACACACACACACACACACACACACACACACACACACACACACACACACACACACACACACACACACACACACACACACACACACACACACACACACACACACACACACACACACACACACACACACACACACACACACACACACACACACACACACACAACATATATATATATTATATATATATATATATATATATATCCCTTTTTATCTTGACTGATATTATATAAGGGGGGTGTGGTAAACTCGTAGGGGTGGTTCAGTGTCCTGGGGGGGTAGGGGAGGGTGAGTTTCAACTTGTTTAAGCAAGAAGCTGAAGATGAGAGTGAATATAGTCGAAAAAATGAGAAACTTGTGAGAACTGAACAAATATAGTCTAAGATAAATTATGTTAATATTGACAACTTTGAGATTTATATCTTATAGAGGTTTTATCCGCAGCGTGAGTCAGTGAGTCAGTGAGTCAGTGAGTCAGTGAGTCAGTGAGTCAGTGAGTCAGTGAGTCAGTGAGTCAGTGAGTCAGTGAGTCAGTGAGTCAGTGAGTCAGTGAGTCAGTGTGTCAGTGAGTCAGTGAGTCAGTGAGTCAGTGATCAGTGAGTCAGTGAGTCAGTGAGTCAGTGAGTCAGTGAGTCAGTGAGTCAGTGTGTCAGTGAGTCAGTGTGTCAGTGAGTCAGTGTGAGTCAGTGAGTCAGTGAGTCAGTGAGTCAGTGTGTCAGTGAGTCAGTGAGTCAGCGTGAGTCAGTGTGAGTCAGTGAGTCAGCGTGAGTCAGTGAGTCAGCGTGAGTCAGTGAGTCAGCGTGAGTCAGTGTGAGTCAGTGAGTCAGCGTGAGTCAGTGAGTCAGCGTGAGTCAGTGAGTCAGCGTAAGTCAGTGAGTCAGTGAGGCTTAATGTGTATGTTGTGGGTCTGGTGATCAACCCAGTCTATGGTGTGTTATGGTGTGCCATTGTGTGTCATGGTATATCATGGTGTTTCATGGTGTGTCATGGTGTTTTATGGTGTGCCATGGTGTATCATGGTGTGTCATGGTGTCTCATGGTGTCATGCTGTGTGTTATAGTGTGTGTCATGGTGTGTGTTATAGTGTGTGTCATGGTGTGTGTTATAGTGTGTGTCATGGTGTGTGTGTTATAGTGTGTCATGGTGTGTGTTAGAGTGTGTCATGGTGTGTGTTATAGTGTGCGTCATGGTGTGTGTTATAGTGTGTGTCATGGTGTGTCATGGTGTGTCATGGTGTCATAATGTGTGTCATGGTATGTCATGGTGTCATGGTGTGTGTTAATGTGTGTGTCATGTGTGTCATGGTGTGTGTTATGGTGTGTCATGGTGTGTCATGGTGTGTCATGGTGTGTGTTATGGTGTGTCATGGTGTGTCATGGTGTGTCATGGTGTGTTATGGTGTGTCATGGTGTGTGTTATGGTGTGTCATGGTGTGTGTTATAGTGTGTGTCATGGTGTGTGTTATAGTGTGTCATGGTGTGTGTTATAGTGTGTGTCATGGTGTGTGTTATAGTGTGTGTCATGGTGTGTCATGGTGTGTGTTATAGTGTGTGTCATGGTGTGTCATGGTGTGTCATGGTGTGTCATGGTGTCATGGTGTGTGTCATGGTATGTCATGGTGTCATGGTGTGTGTTTACTGTGTGTGTCATGGTGTGTCATGGTGTGTCATGGTGTCATGGTGTGTGTTATAGTTGTGTGTCATGGTGTGTCATGGTGTGTTATGGTGTGTCATGGTGTGTCATGGTGTGTCATGGTGTGTTATGGTGTGTCATGGTGTGTCATGGTGTGTGTGTTATGGTGTGTCATGGTGTGTGTCATGGTGCGTCATGGTGTGAGCCATGGTGTGTGTCACGGTGTGTTTCATGGTGTGTCATGGTGTGTGTCATGGTGTGTGTTATGGTGTGTCATGGTGTGTGTCCTGGTGCGTCATGGTGTGAGACATGGTGTGTGTCATGGTGCGTCATGGTGTGTCGTGGTGTGTATCATTGTGTGTGTTATAGTGTGTGTCATGGTGTGTGTCATGGTGTGTGTCATGGTGTGTGTCATGGTGTGTCATGGTGTGTGTTATGGTGTGTCATGGTGTGTCATGGTGTGTGTTATGATGTGTCATGGTGTGTGTCATGGTGTGTGTTATGATGTGTCATGGTGTGTGTCATGGTGTGTGTTATGATGTGTCATGGTGTGTGTCATGGTGTGTGTCATGGTGTGGTGTCATGGTGTGTGTTATGATGTGTCATGGTGTGTGTCATGGTGTGTGTCATGGTGTGTGTCATGGTGTGTCATGGTGTGTGTTATGGTGTGTCATGGTGTGTGTCATGGTGTGTGTTATGATGTGTCATGGTGTGTGGTCATGGTTGTGTGTGTCATGGTGTGTGTCA